GTAACAGGTTACCAGTAATACTAAAGGGCAATGCTATCCTCCCTTAGTCCTGGCTCCCCAATCAACTGGTAATGTGCATTTCTCTAGTGCTAGTTGAAAAAAACAACAACTTGTATTCCATGTGCAACAATTAAAATATTGCTTCATACACAAGGCTAGATTTGTCTACACTTTAATCGCTAATATTACTATCAAAAGTTTGCTCACTCCGGAGTGTCCGAGTTCTGAAATGCGCACTATGCCTCTAGGCTGTCATAAGATAAAGTGTATTTCATAAACCAAGTGTACTTATCCCCCCTATGAGTTTGATTTAAATAACTGGTGGGAATAAATGCAATAAGGTTTTCCTTACTGTCAGCCTTCATGCTGTGTGGTACGTGGCACTGATATCTCTCTGTAGAACAGCCATTACATAGATGGAATAATGTTATTGCATGTGATGCTTCTATCAGTTGCATTATGTAATAAATTACTTATTTATGAATATTTGTCAGTATACTGGTCACTGGTTTATGCTGAAACACATTGACCACACATTAGCTGGCAACATTCAATTCCAGGAATTCGCAAAGAGTTTTATAAAGACTTTAGAATTATGTCATGCCTCGAGACAACAAATGTTGGTGCTTGCGAAAGATTCATGTGGCTGTAGAATTAGCTGTGCAGGCATGGTGGGGGCGGCACTGAGGGCAAAGTGTCCATGCCATGAACACTCCATCCTCAGTCCATGTTCAGCCCCCAAGCCGCTCATCATCCTTGGTTGCTAGGGAGTTGTGGTCTTACAACCCAATAACACAGGACCTGCCCAATTCAACTGCAGAAGCTTCCCTGGCCGACAGAAGAACTTAAAGAAAGGGGTAAAGATTGTGCTGGCCTAATATTGACCAATTGACCCAGCCATTGCAGCCAGAAACCTGCTTTAGTGGCTACATAAAAAATAAAAAACACTCAGAAATTGCCTATTTTATGATAGCTCTTATAACAACTTCAACCCTTGCACCTGTATATCCCATATGGAATGGAGCATTTTTTAACTTCCTGCTATGAGCCTATTGATTAATTAATAACTTTGTCATTACTTAAGATAAAGTAATAAATATATTTTTATGCAATCTATAGATAAAAGGTAAAACATAATGAAAAAAAGTTGTTGTTTGACCAGTGTTAGTTTTAAACAACTAGTACAAACAACTAGATAAAAAGTGCACATATATTTTATAATAATATAATATGTGCTATTTACAATGGAACTAAAATTGCCTATTTTTATTTCAAGGTTTTTTGTAAAGTTTTTGTTTACAAACGAAAGACATGTTTTTTTAAAGGTTGCCTCCAAACAAATTCATCTGAAATAGGTTTAAATATTAGTGGTAGAAGAAGAAAATAGAAAAAAAATAATAATAATCCACAGCAAAACAATAACTAAGACCGAGGAAGGATCCACACAATATTACCCAGACTATGCTTAGCACCGCTTAAAACCCTATGTCCTTCAATATGTTCAATGATAAGACAGAGGAAGGAGTTAATTATGGCTAAATAAGACGAATTAGGGGTTAATAAGGGGTTATAGAGAAACAGTTTTTTTTTTTAACTTAGAAGGTTGCTTTAAGTGAGAGCATATGCAGAGCAAGGTCACCCTTTTGATCTGCTCTGAGCTACATGGTAATTCTTATATTTACACTGCAGACATTGTACAGAAGAGCTCCTGTGATACAAAACAAGTGCCGGCTGTCATAATGACAACCAGGATTTTCTGGTTAATGTGGCAGGAGCTGTGGAGGAGAATGAGCAAGGCATACCATACATTCCCAATAAATTTATATAACTTTCTAGTGTGTGTGTGTGGTGCGCCAAAGTCCACAAGTGGGTAAGGAGAAGACTGTAGACCACAACCAGGCAGATTGTATTTACATATTACATTCCATTAGTATATGTCACAGACAGTCTCGGAGTGTGCATAAGGTCGACTTGTTCTTTTGTACTACTTGGTAGATTCACACTTGGGTTCCCTTGGTCAGGTGATGACAGGGAACCATCTTTCCATTAGCCTGTAACATCCATCGGCAATACAACTGACAATGGAAACTGCTATTGAATGTGTTCCAGTTCCCATTCCTCTGCTCCAACAGCTTTAATATCTGATAACTGCAGCAGTAGAGCTTGGATGAAAGGAGCTGTTTATTGTTTTAGGAAGATCTACTTGGCTACATTACACTAATCACAGTGGGTACTTGTGGCCTAACAGTGCATTTCACGTGCCAAATGTAAGAAGGGGTATCAGAGTAAGTAATAGCAGTCAGAGCAAGATGGTTCCATTTCATGTCGTGTAAATTCACCTAACACTAAGTGCTACACTGATGTCAGTTCTTTCTAGTATTTGGTACTGTATGTGTAAGTCATTGTTGGGGGGCACACGTTTGTCACTCTGCACAGTGTAATATAATAAAGCGGGAGTCTGAAAACATTAGAAACTGTTTTTTCTTTATTTAACAAAAATAGGCCACTCCTGTCATCCGAGCTGTCACGCTGAAGTTATTACCTACTAAAGCTGTGCGGGCAGATTATGCTCCATGTTTTCCCTGTCCGTACATAACCAGGAAAGTCTTAGTATATGCCAAGTGCACAGTGCACTATACCAAGTAGCATATGAATGATGAGTTCATGAATATAGATCATGTGTGGCACTGTTTTTTTTTTTAAGTGGTGGAAGGCACTGAAAGACCCCCAGTTATATATTACTTAAAATTGCAAGTGGCTTAGTAGGTAGCAGTAGCAATTCGTGCAGCACTGGGGTCCCCGGTTTGTTCAGGACACTATCTGCAAGGGGTTTGCATGTTTTCCCTGTACTTGCGAGGGTTTCCTTCAGGTACTCCGGTTTCCTTCCACATTGGCTCCAGTCTAAAATTGGCTCCAGTCTAAAGGTTAATTGGCTCCAGTCTAAAATTGTCCCTGTATATGTGTGTGATAGGGACCTTAGATTGCAAGCTTCTTGAAGGCAGGGACTAATGTGAATGTGCAGAATGTAAATGCTCCATAAATTGTAAATACCTGTAATAAAAAAGCTGCTTAAATGCATATAAATAGTACATTACTCTGTACTAGCTTCCTATAATCCTATGCTCATCAGCATTTAGACTGGGAATAGAAAAGTTAAGTCAATCAGGCTTTACTGCATGGCAGATTGCTGTAAATCTAATAAGTGGAGGGTGCTGATTGGAGGAGAGAGCACAGAGATGACCTTATTTGTAACATTTTACTATCTAACTGCAGCCTTGATTAAGTTATATTGCTGTAACTACAGTGCAGAAAACACATTGTTAGGATATAGCCAGCAGTAGTTACTTTCAACTGGGCTTGTTTGGTAATGTTGAACATGTTTCCCCACTCATCCAAGTGACTACAACAATTCAATGAGTATTGGGAACATACTCTAGCATGACCCAATATAGGTGCATGAAATCTGCACTCTTCCTAAACCATTTTTTTCAGCAACAGTGAGGATCACATTTTGAAACACGTGAAAGAGCCATTTGGGCCAAACCAGAACAACTATCTCTATATCGGGATGGGATTCAGACCTCTGAACTGAAGCAGCCATTTGGATGAGTCAACTTTACAAAACAAGTCCAGCTAAATGTGACTAACTAGTACTAGCTAAACCACGATCTCTATTAAATGTGACTAACTAGTACTAGCTAAACCACGATCTCTATTAAAGAAAACCTTTACAGATATATATGGTCAGGACTTTGTATAGTCCCAGGAAGGGTGTCTGGAATAAAAATGGGATAAGCAGAATTATAAGTCTTTTGGCATATAATTAGCTGCTTGCTCACACTTGTACTTAGAAAACTATATTGTGACTTCTGCTTAAAGTGACATTAAAGTCAAAAATATTTTTCCCTCCCCCCAATGTTAATTAAAGCACTCAGCTTAAATGATGTCTGTTAATCCGATCTTCTTCTTTCCTGTCGTTTAAATCTGTCCCTCCAGCGGTGCGGCAGGTCTCCGATCAAGCGCCGACTCCTCTGTCCTTGCTGGTACTTTCTGTCCCACTGTGTCTGCATGCGGGTGCACGCGTCCATAGACTTGCCTTGTGTCTCTCCTCGTCTCCCGGCCGAAAATCTGAACTGCGCATGCGCCCGCCCCAAGAAGCTTTGTGGCCGACCGAGAATTTTCAGATTTTCGGACGGGAGCGTGTGGCCAAGACAGGGATAAGTTTAAACCGCTTTTAAAGCGTTTTTAAAAATGTTTTTGCATATATCTACTGCTTGCGAGCAGTGGATATATGCAAAAAAACAGAGGGTTTAATAACCATTTAAGTTGCACAACTTTTATTCAAAGTGGGGCTCCAGCCAAAAAAAATTTTTTTTTAAATAAAGTAGGGAAGAAATGTTCATGTTTTACTGCTGTCTATGTCTTAACTGATAAGATTTTCCCTTACTTTCATTTCTTGAGACAAAACAGGAAGTTGTTGAAAATCCCCCCAAGGTGAGGGGAAATCCCCCATGTGTCATTTGTTTACCTCTAAACCCCATGCCCATGACAAGTCTAAAGTTTTAGTTTACCCCTCACCTTCTATTCTTCTGAACCTAGACCTCTGCACGCTACCTAAAAGAGAATTTAAAAAAAGTTCTGGCTGGAGTAGCACTGTAAAGAACCTGACAAAGGCAACATTTTTTCTTGATCGATGTCCATTAAAACAGAATTCTGCTAATTAATTGTTTACTACTTTTGTGAAATGCATGTATTGTCCATGTATATTACTGTCTTCTATTAATATTAGTTTATTCATAAATTAAAAACCTCTCTCCCCCCGCCCCCCTATATAGGTGGAGGGGTTATCTCCGATTGTTTAGTCAATCTCTTACATAGCCCCATTCTCCTTAGTTTTTGTTACAAATATATTTAGGGGTGAGGTGGCCCGTTCCCCATGGTGGCTCAGAACCTTTTTTTTTGTACTCTATTGTCTATGTATTGTTATGTGTTAGACTTACTTTTTCATCTTCTTCATCGTCTTCACCAATATCCATTCCATCCTGAAACGAAAAAGATGGCACAGTCAGCTTTAATTTCTCAAACGCGAAGTATATTTTTATCTTTAATAAAATAACTTTTTCACCAGTCAATAAAAATTACAAAAGAAAATTACAATGTAACAAGATGAAAAGGTTACAAAAATGTACAAGTTAAAAAAAAAAGAAAGAAAAAGCAGATATCTTTACATACTCTTAAATAGGATATGTGGGGAGTGCGCTACAGCAAAAATGCAGACTGGCACTACATTTTTGTCCCAGCTGTACTGCACCATACAACATTTCATGCACATCTGCCACAGAAGTGCGACAAGCGCAACCAAACCTGAAATGTGAAAAAAACTGCTAGCAGTTAGTTATTTATAGTAGAGGGGACTCTGTATGCCTTTTCTGCCATAAAATATTTCCCCCAGCTTGCTAGCAGTTTTTTTTTACGAATTATTACACAGACAGTTGCATATATACAGCTCAGTGTACAATTCCGGCATGTGAGTGCTAGGCGCTTGGACAAGTGAACTACCGTGGGCATGCACAAGAGCTATGTCATCTCCACCGGGCCAATCAAGGTGGCTAAAGACTCCGGATCCAGGAAGATGACGAAAAACAAATGGAAACACCAGAGACAGAGCACTGGGGGAGACTGCAGTGCTGGAGGGTGGGCACTTTACAAAGTAAGAACGCCATACTGTGCCAATATGTTGTGTATGTTGCACATTATGACATAATATCAGGGTTAGGTCTGAGATCTCAGTGTAGGTAACAGAACTTGGTATCTGGTTAAAAGGAGCTTGAGTAATGGGGAGGGGGATGTACAACTAACAGCAATTCTGCATATACTTAGATGTATAATAGTACTTTAAATATAGAGTGTTTACTAATGGCAGGGTGTTTTTACCTTTTGGATTCTCTGCATTAAGTTTTTAAAAATGCCCGGTACTTTTCTGTGTTCCACTGACCCCTACCGACACTTAGCTGTGGTCACCATTCACAGCTGCCGGGTCCATGAAGATATCCTCTGTTCTGAGCTTCCTGGTTGTGGGGGAGGGTACTGAGGGCAGAGGAGCGATTGGCTCCTTTTGCTCCTTTTGCTATCAGTCAATCTGTTGGGAGTATAGAAGGGGAGTAGCTTTCCGCTAGCGGTGTGTGTCGATGGACATACACAGCTACTTGCAGTCACACCTGGGAATGTGCATGCATGGATGTCTCCTCAGCAGCTGGCTAGCTGATGGAGACACCCACAAAAGACGAGTGAGGGGGAAAGCAGTTTGGGGATCAGCTAGAGAATGGGGAAAGCAAAAACTCTAAATAAGAGGGATAGCAATTTAAAGTATGACCTTCAAAACATAAAAAGAAGAAAAAAAAGACAGAAGCAATATCACTATCAATATCACTTTAGGAAGGACATGAAAAGGTGGTGTTTTGAAACAAAGGTTAAGTACAAAAAGTTAAAATATTAGCTTATGAATAAGCAACATATGCACTCATAAATGCACATACATACGTTAATAATTGTAATACACACAGTCTCTTTGAAAGAACAGTAGTTATTGACAAAAAAATGATTTAAAAGTAGCCACTCCCTATTACTAGGAGTCATAAAAGGATTATAGGTAAGCAAACACATTACTCCCTTAAGGAGGTCTGGCATCCAGGGACATGTTTTATAAGATAACAGTGTTGCCTTGAGGTAAGCAACATATGGATCTTCTGATTATAGCTATGAGCGTATGGGCCAAAAATCAATATTTGTCTTTGCTTACCAGATTGTTCTGGGCGCTGACCTTCCCCGTTGTGATCATGGTAAAGTTGTAAGCAAAAAGAAGCAGCAGAAACAGAGGTATCATGTAAAGCTCCAGATTCCATAGTGTTAGCACAAATAGCTACAAAGGAAGACATAAAAGGAGATACCAATAAGAAAATCTACAATAAAGAAAAACATAAATGAAACAGTAGCATGGTAAAAGTATACAAGCTCAAGGTGGCGTGTGGTGGACTTTATGGTTTAAACTTTATGTTCAGCCAAAACTTTGATTTTTGGGGAGAATGGGGAAGGCTTAGCACTCCTGCCAGGTCTTTATTGCTATGTGATTTTCCCTCACTTACTGTTCCTTGAAATCTGCTACAGGGACTCGGCAATAAAATAGCCGACACGGATCTATCCCTCTTCTATGCTACTAAAATTAAGTAAATGTATTTTAGACTCTGTTGCTGCTGAAGACGCTGTCTCGTGATATTGTTGTCGCTAGGAAGGGAAGTGCGGGGAAAAATGACATCCCAGAAAGCAGTTAAAACCTGGGAAGGGTGCTAACCTTTTCCCAAAAAAAAAAATTGGGCTGGACATACACTTTAGGCTTGGCATAGGACATTAGATGATGGTTAAACAGGGAGGGGAATTTATCAAAACTGGAGCAGACAAAATCTGGAGCAGCTGTGCATGACAACCAATCAGCTTCTCTCTTTCATTTTCAAATCTTAACTGAGCAAACTGAAGACAGGAGCTGATTAGTTGCCATGGGCAACTGCTCCAAATTCTGTCTGCTCCAGTTTTGATAAATCCCGCCCAGAAGAGTGCTGAAAGACCTTTTTCTAACAAAGTCCAGAACATGCAACATTAGGTCACTCCAGTGTTAATAGCAGTGGAGGTAGGACGTTGGGGAGATCACCCAAGCAAGCCAGGCACCAGACTAATCTAGGCCAAAAACAACAGCGAGTTGCGTGAAATAGCCATTCACTAGATCCTCTATAACAGGGTTAGTGAACCTTGGCTCTCCAGCTGTGCCGAAACTACAAATCTTATCATGCTTCTGCCTCTGGGAGTCATGCCTGTGGCTTGCAATGCCTTATGGGATTTGTAGTTTCAGCACAGCTGGAGAGCCAAGGTTGCCTACCCCTGCTCTATAAGTCAAATTCCAAAGTTCATCAATCTCCAACACTGGTAACCTAAATAAGTTTAATGCCCACCTAGCCCATCTACTTATTTTGTTCAGTCATTTCTCTATGTGGCTTCTCCATTCCTACCACTGACATCTCTAGAGTCGTTAATGATTATTTCAACATTTTAATTGCCAATAGCACAGCTGATGTAATCCTTCTCTCAGTCACCTGATCTTTGGTTACTACTCACAATGATGGACACATATTTAACCACATATTACTCGCCTCAATTTTCTATTAACATTTTTAAACTCTTATTTTCCACTTTCGGATTATAACTAACTTTACATTTCTTTTCCATCTAAGGAAAATCCCCTACAAAGCAGCACAAAAAGACATTAACAAGAGAGCTCCATACATTCAGATTTTATACACTTTGCAGTTTTGGAGCTTGGTATTAGAAGATAATAAGCAGTCACTCACTGCAATAAACTCAGGCTTGGATTCCTTTACCAAGGCCAAACCTTTGCTTGCCAAGCAGCAACCCTGGCACATCAAGCAAGATAAAGTGCTTAAGAGGTTTTCTTAAACATTTAAAAGACAAAAATATTAAAAAATATATACACACCTCATATCTAAACATGATCTACAGGAGACCAGGGCTGCTTTTTTTTTATCAGGTAAGGAGTTGTATTACTTCTCACTCATGCATACAAAGTCCAACAATCCTGACAGAATATCAATACTTTTAAATGCCCACCGGCATCCACCACTTTGTATATGGTGGATATAGTGTATAAGAATTAAACATATCTTTATTAAAACACTGCAAGTTGAAAGCAAGGGCAACAGAGAAGGTATCCCAAGTGTCTGAGTAATTAAACGAATATGCATAATGAACCATATGCCCAAAGGGCTTGTTCTTCATGAAGGCCAGATTTTTGTTTGAATTTTTAATTTTTATATACAGATGAAACAAGCAGACTATTACAGAACTATACTGCAGAAATATCATTACCCATTTCAGCGTGTGAATAAGGATCGCTGGTGGACTATGAACTTGCGACCTATGTTTTATTTATTATTTAAGCGAACGATTCAGTGAAATCTATTCCAAGAATTACATACTAGTTAAGGATGAATTGGCCTGGAATGTGAATACACATTTAATCTTCCATATGTACGCCAGGCTGTATAGGAACATCAGAGTATATTCACATTCCATGTCACTCCAACACACACTGCACGTACATATACAAATCACATCAAGCAAACAGGTTCATTCAAAAAACAGACACTTGAGGCTCTAACATTTTCAGAAGTGCAACAAAGTTTAAAGCAGGGATATAATAGCCAGATGCATGTGCTGTAACCTTTTATTTTTGCCATTTAGATAATACCCAAGAATGAATAAGCATAGCTCTCTAACATTATTTATAATTACCGTAAATCAAATCAAACCCTCAGCCACCCACTTTCCATCATCTCACCCCTAGACCGCGCCCCCCCCCGAATCAGACTTAGTTTTTAATTATCTTTCCTCAGGGAACCCTTCACGCACTTCCTGAATTCCCGCCTGGGCAATACTGACATAGGTACCTGCAGCCCCTGGGATACCCACATCACAGAACTCGGGGAGGTTTCAAGTATTCTATATTCCATCCCTGGGATGCACAATGTAGGTATCCAAGAAGGCATTGGGGTACTCTAGTATGCATGCACCAGGGTGCATCGTTGAGGGGCTGGATGAAAGAAAAGACAGCAAGCCCCCTGACAATGTGCCATGGGGCATGCACATCATCAGGGGGCCAGCTGCAAGAACCCGGAAGGTGCACGCGGTTCCTGGTGGCATTAGAAAAGAAGGGCGGGTAAAGCAGCCGGGATTGAAACCCTACAGAACACTGCTGTATTTCTGGACATGCGAGTATGTTTTTGTGAAAAACCCAGCAAAGAAGGACAGGGGGCAGTGAAGGTCCTCTTTAAACTACATGGGTGACTTTCAGCTGCAGTAATATGCATGCTAACTTGCCATCAAATGGCTGCAAAAATTGACCAAACAAGAACAACATTTTTTATACTTATAATTATATTTGCTACAAAAAGTATACTCAGATCTTTATTTACATACAGTAGGGGGAATGTATCAGAACTGGAGCAGACAAAAACTGGAGCAGCAGTGCAGGGCAACCAATCAGCTTCTCTCTTCAGTTTGTTCAGTTAAGATTTGAAAATGAAAGAGAGAAGCTGATTGGTTGCCATGCACGGCTTCTCCAGATTTTGTCTGCTCCAGTTTTGATAAATTCCCTTCAGTATGTCATGATGATAATGACAATTGACGACACACTGACTTAGTGAATGCCAGACTGAGCATGCAGATAAGGACTTCTGATCTTGCCACAGCTTTTCTGATCTGCATAATGTTTTCTGATCACCCTCTCAAAGTATTGAAGGGATTGAGTAAGCACATTGGGCAGGAAACTAGCATTTTGGAGACAGTACCCCTTTCTCAGCGTTCACCTTTAGTGAAATCAACTAAATGCCAAACTTAATACCCCCACCTCAACCATGTTTACATGAAATGATCAATATGTAGGAGAAAGGGGTGGGGTTGAACTTAAAAGCCAAGTTTACCTTTTAGACATGTTTCATGTTATATCCATATTCAGGGTGTAACATAAAACATGGTCACATAAGTAAGTAAACAGTATATAGGATTGCAATAGGTAAGTTTTGCCTCCCTCACAAATTGTATCAACTAGAGTCCCAGGAGTATGGGATTCAAATATTGGGGTTATGGGACTGGATCCCTGAACAATAAAAAATAAAAAACAGCTTTGACTCGGTCTGTCAGATAACATGGAAGTAACATTGTTTAGCAACTGCAACTTGATTGCATGTTTGACTTCACAAAACAAGTTTTAAAACCCTCACTAATTGTAGCAAGCTTGTGTATTTGTAATTCGCCATTTTGATTAAATCCCTATGATTTAATCAAAATGGCACCTCTTGATAGAGCGGTCCTAATTCTAAACTATGAGAGTCTCCATCTTGGAGCACATGGGGCAAAAGATCAAATTGAGTGCAGGTTTGTCAGGAGTAAGCCCAACCTCTCTTAACCCTTTCACTGCCAAGCCCTCCGGAACATTTTTCAAATCAGCTGGCCAAGCCATTTTTGAATTACAGGGATACACTATTCAAGATGGAGACTCTCATAGTTTAGAGTTGGGACCGCACTATATAGAGGTGCCTTGGCACGGATGTGCGGCTTTCACATTTTCTGCAGAAGACGTGTATCTAAACCTGTTTTTAACCTTAGTGTGAGACAAGTTTTTTGCATGCTGGCTGGCGAGTGTGCTGGGAAAACTTTTTGCTGTCCATAAAAAGGGAGAACGCCAAGTTAGTACAGTTGTAATCGTTGGTTCCTTATTTACCCACTAGTAAAATGTTAAATTAAAAAGTAAGAAAATTGCTGAATATGACTACACCCTGCCACAGGTAGTCAATAAGTTACTTCTGGGCCTCTCCTTAGAGCACTGTGTGAGGCCTTCCAACTATCTGAACGAAGATGACAGTTGATGATGGTATGCAACAAGGATGATGTAACTAGATGTTCAAAAATGATGAACATACTGTTTTGAAAGAATCAGATCATTCTGGGAAAACACCATCAGTGTGGCCGTAAGGAGTCAACATTAACTTGGGGCCCTTAAAAACTAAGATGACTAGCCCACAGAGACAGCAACACAATCTAGGAGAAAAGAAGTGTAAAGCTGTCCACAAACTGGTAGATTTCAAACAAACTTTCACACGAAAAATCTCACCAGAACATTGAATAATGCCGTCAGAGACTGGAATGAATGGAGTTTTTTCAAATGAAAACCACATTCACTGTTAATCTGGCCATACACCTATAGATTATCTGTAGATTTTCTATGGTCAGATGGAAAAAGAGGAATCTCCCACTGGGAGACCGGCTCTCCAAATACCTGAACAAGCTGATCGGATG